GGTCGGAACCTTTATCTCCGTATAAAGGAGAGTGCCCGAGAATTTGGCTTAAATGCCTCGCAAATTCTGTCAGCCCTGTACTATATTACAGGAGAAGGTGGTCGTTTGTGTGCTTGCTTGTGCACCCACGTGGATGATTTCCTGTGGGCTGCTACCGCCGAAGGCGAGCCGGCTATCCAGAATCTGCTGGATAAGTTTAAGATCGGTCGCATAGAGACTGAGAAGTTCCGTTTCTGCGGACGCGAGTATGTGCAAAGCGCCGATGGGACCATCAGTATAAACTGTAGGGACAACACGCGTGCAATTCGCCCGATCGATATACATAAGTCTGAAAAGGGCACGACTCCAGTCTCGAATGGCCAGCGCACAGCGCTGAGATCCGTCATAGGATCGCTGGCTTGGGTGGCCCGCGCCACGAGACCTGATCTTGCCTATAGGGTGAATGCCCTGCAGCAGCGTGTTACGACAGCCACGGTGGATACACTCCGTGAGGCAAACCGCGTAGTAGCACTGGCGTTAGGAGATGCGGATAGGCCGATCACGTACAGCGCTAAGTTACCCTGGAATACAGGAGAGCTGGCGATTGTCACGTTTTGCGACGCCTCCTTTGCAGGAGAGGCAAACCATAAGTCGCAGAGAGGTCGTTTCCACTATCTCACTTCCGCACAGTCGGCGGTGGACAAGAACGCGTCAACGCATGAGATGCACCTCATTTCATTTTCCTCGTCCACCATGAAACGGGTTTGTCGCGCCACACTCCAGTGTGAGGCTTACTCGTTGCAACATGCCATAGAGCATGGAGACCGCATTCGAGCAGCAGTGCTCGAACTGCTCGGCAAATTGCCCCGGTCACAGAACTGGGAAGAAGTCGCCAAGAGATCGATGTTCCACCTGCAGTATACGGACTGCAGGTCCCTTTCGGATCACTTGACTGCGTCGATTCCAAAATCATGCGAGGATAAACGCCTCGCCATAGAGATGTCTGGACTCCGCCAAGGACTTTGGGAAGAGGACGAGCTAACGCACGCCTTGTACCATCCTTACGGCGACGAGTTGAGATGGATACCGACGCATTTACAACTTGCGGATTGTTTGACTAAGAGTATGAAACCGCTTCTGATCAATCACAGCATTGATCGCAACCTCGTTCAGGTGCTCGATGTGCCCGCGCAAGCCGCACAGAATACCGAGAGTACCGAAAGCACTCCGCTTCGCGATTGAAGAACTCAGCCTGGAGCCTTGAGTCGCCGCACTCGGCTTGGTTGACTGCGCAAGCTCCCGGTATAATCCGGTGAAGTAGGCTTGGCCCAAAGCGGTCATAATTCGAGCATGATTCGGACGTCACACTACAGATAAGACGGGTGTGAAATTTCCCTGTCTTGAAGCGCCGTGTTGACCTGTCCTCATGCGAGCGTAGTCTTTTGAGTTAGATCTGAATGCACCCTGTACGACAGACGTCTTGGGCTCAGACCAAAAAGTGCGCTCGTAGTGTGGTTGGACACTCACTAATCCAGTTCCTGCTTCAAAACCATAAACCCGCGAGTCTAGAGAACTTTGTCGGCCACAGCATGTATGGGAATTAGATGCTTGTTAGCCAGAGATGCGCTGAGACTCCCAAAAGTATTGTCATTGATTCTTAGGGTTTAGGGTTCAAGGTTTATGTTTCGACGTCAGAAGCATGTAGGAGGCGAAGCCAGTCCTGGTTGATAGGAAAGTTTCGATCTCACAACTCTTTGTGCCACGGTGTCTTGGCTCATTCGTCTGGCTTGTTCGGTTGCGAGAAAATGCAACAAGATCAAAGCGGTCATCCAGGGCTTCTTGGCAGGCCCATGCCACCGCAAGGCCTTACTAACCAGATTAGGGCTTTCGGGTACAACATTACTTGGAGGATCATGGGACTTAGTAAGTATGGTTTTAAGGTACCTTAATTGAGGTTATAAGTGATGATTTATAAGTATAGTTACCTTAATCATAACCCTAGTTACTAAGTCATCCTTCAAGTTTCAGGATCCTATGGTAGCCAGTCCTTTTGCAGGGGTAAGCTTCAACTTCTGGCTGAGCCCTTTACACCTGAAGCCCCTTAACCCTTAACCCCTAAATGAACGAAACTCACATGACCCTAAACCCGAACCTCCCAAACCAGCCGCGACAATCGGTGTAGGTAAAGTTCTGCGTGGCAATATGTCGATTACAGTACAGATTGGGCTGCTCAGCGGCAACAGAGTCAGCATCAAAGCCGACTTGAATGAAGAAGTGGGAATACTGAACCGTCGGGCACAGCTCGCACTCGGAGTCGGAAGGGGGCGGCTCGTGGACTCATCTGGAAGCATTCTGGATGAATCTGCACCGATCACGTCTGCACGGCTGCAAAATGGTGATGCACTAACTCTGCATGTAAACAGAGTTGCACTTCAATCCTGTCGCTCAGCTTTTGCAGCCATTCTTGGCGATGGATCTGTCGTGACCTGGGGTAAACCTGAACATGGCGATAACAGTAGTGCTGTGCAGGACCAGCTCAAGAATGTGCAGCAGATCCAAGCCTCTGGCCCGGCTTTTGCTGCCATTCTTGGCGATGGATCGGTCGTGACCTGGGGTAAACCTGGAAATGGTGGTAACAGTAGTGCCGTGCAGGACCAGCTCAAGAACGTGCAGCAGATCCAAGCCTCTCGGATGGCTTTTGCTGCTATTCTTGGCGATGGATCGGTCGTGACCTGGGGGTATGCTGAACGTGGTGGGGACAGTAGTGCCGTGCAGGATCAGCTCAAGAACGTGCAGCAGATCCAAGCCTCTTTCAACGCTTTTGCTGCCATTCTTGGCGATGGATCGATCGTGACCTGGGGTGTTCCTGACGAAGGCGGGGACAGTAGTGCCGTGCAGGATCAGCTAAAGAACGTGCAGCAGATCCAAGCCGCTTACAACGCTTTTGCTGCCATTCTTGGCGATGGATCGGTCGTGACCTGGGGTGTTCCTGGCGAAGGCGGGGACAGTAGTGCCGTGCAGGATCAGCTAAAGAACGTGCAGCAGATCCAAGCCTCTGCCTCCGCTTTTGCTGCCATTCTTGGAGATGGATCGGTCGTGACTTGGGGTGATGCTGAATGTGCGGGGGACAGTAGTGCCGTGCAGGATCAGCTCAAGAACGTGCAGCAGATCCACGCCTCTTACAACGCTTTTGCTGCCATTCTTGGCGATGGATCGGTCGTGACCTGGGGGTATGCTGCACTTGGTGGGGACAGTAGTGCCGTGCAGGATCAGCTCAAGAACGTGCAGCAGATCCAAGCGTCTCACTTCGCTTTTGCTGCCATTCTTGGCGATGGATCGGTCGTGACCTGGGGGTATGCTGAACGTGGCGGGGACAGTAGTGCCGTGCAGGATCAGCTAAAGAACGTGCAGCAGATCCAAGCCTCTTACAACGCTTTTGCTGCCATTCTTGGCGATGGATCGGTCGTGAGCTGGGGGTATGCTGAACTTGGTGGGGACAGTAGTGCCGTGCAGGATCAGCTCAAGAACGTGCAGCAGATCCAAGCCTCTTTCAACGCTTTTGCTGCCATTCTTGGCGATGGATCGGTCGTGACCTGGGGTGTTCCTGACGAAGGCGGGGACAGTAGTGCCGTGCAGGATCAGCTCACGAACGTGCAGCAGATCCAAGCCTCTGGCTCGGCTTTTGCTGCCAGTCTTGGAGATGGATTCGTCGTGACCTAGGGTGTTCCTGACGAAGGCGGTGACAGAACTACCGTGCAGGATCTGCTGAAGTTCAAACAGATTTGCAGTAGGTCTCACGGTCTCTGACTTAAGACTCGCACGGCATTTGTAGAAACGTGTCGTCGAAGCACGGACGACAGACCAGTAACATTTGCCCTTATGCAGCGCCCCTACTTCCAACTCACTTTTGGATTGAAAGGCTGAAGCGCTCAGGAGCTTGACATTGTTTCCAGGGGCCCCCAACACAGGACATGAGCATAAACATTTGAAAAGGATATCCCTACCTTACTGTGCTGTAAGATCAGGGGATTATATGACATATATCCGAACTAACAAACTTTGGTTATGTGCCCTTTTGGAGGTCTAGTTTGGGGTCCAGGATTTCGGGGAACCCGTGTTCTTTTGTTGTTGTGGACGCTTTTTGCTGCGGGTGCTCCGGGCGGCGGGCAGCGAGTGAGTGAGTGAGTCGCGCACCCGCAGCCAAAGAAACGCGCCCCGGACCCTAAACCCTAAACCTCTTCATGCAGTGGATGCTCGCCCGCCGGCTGGCCGGCCCACGCCCCATTGGATTCCGCCGACCCGCAGCCCGGGGCGCACCCGCAACAAAAAAGAGTGCTGCGCACACGCAGCAAAAAGCACCCACAACTAAAACATAGACACTCAAACCCTAATCCCTAATCCCTAAACCCTCTTAATTACAGAAAGGACCTAGGATTTCGGACTCCTTGGTTGTGTGACTACGTCTATGTTTTCGATCCGCACACTACTCCGAGATCCTGGATATATAGGGTTTAGGGGTCAGGGTGGTTGAGGGGGTAGGGTGTGCAGGGTTTAGGGGTTTAGGGGTTTAGGGGTGTAGGGTTTAGACAGCAGTCTTCCTGAAGGTTCAGGTTCAGGGTGCAGTGGGCTTTTGGGTAGTTTTTTCTACGGCACAATATTGAACCACCAATCAGGCTAAAATACAAACACCCCAAGCCCAAGCCCAAACGATGCCCAAAGGAAACATTAAAGGCCCTGGAAATCTGTGCAAGGGCTCAAAGCTCGCATGCTCGCCCTCGCATGCCCTCGCCACCCGTCAACTGTCATCCTGCAGCCTGAACCACAAACCCTTAACCTAGGATGCCCAGTAGTACCCTTATTGACTTTTGTAGTCCTAGGGTTGCCCAAGACCAAAAAGGGAGCCCTTTTTATTGCTAGGTTTCTGGGCATCCTAGTATCTCAAAAACAGAAAGCCCAGATACTGTTCTACAAAAGCCTTAGATATCCCTGACGAGCCCCTTGAAAAATAGTTCTTCACATAGGATGGAGGCGGCGAGATAGCTGCGATCATCCCGGAGAGACAGGACTTGCTGATCCAGCCGCTCGGCGCTTCTCAGAAAATTGTGCTTATAGGGCTTAGGATTGATTTTTTCATTCTGAGAGTCTTCCATGGATCCTGATGAATGCTAGTTTTGTTGTCTGAGGGTTTAGGGTTTGTGGGTTTGAGGTGTTTGGCTTTAGGTCGAATGGCCTCAGGATAGCTGTGACACGTTTTACTTGGCTTCTAAATCCCTAGTGTAGATCTCAAGGCATCTAACCTTTGATTAGGAGTTCGGGGTCTAGGTGCGGTGTGTAGGGTATAGGTGTAGGATGAAGGGCTTTGGGGGAAAGGGCTTCAGGGTTCAGATTTCGGATGTGCCTAAAACAGAAACATTACACTAAGTTTTGCCTGGTGTTGCGTCTGATCAGCAGGATCGTTGCCTCAGCAATTTGGGCCAGACCTGCAGCGCATCTCACTGGCTTCAGATCTCAAGCAGGTGCATAGCACCCGGAAGTTTTCGTTTAGAATTCGGGTTTAGGGTCTAGCGTTCTGGGTTTAGGGGCGAGCGCCAGCACTCTGAATTTGTATCCGGGTGCTGCTGCCACTGTCATAGGACCGTGCTTCAGCTGCTTGCCAAAATTTGCCACGAGTGCACATCCGCAACGGCAATACTTGGAGGATCATGGGACTTAGTAAGTAAGGTTATAAGTACCCTAAGTGGGGATATACGTAGTTATGAGTATAGTTACCTTAGTTATAACCCTAGTTACTATGTCCCATGATTCTTTAAGTACTGCCTCCATCACCAGGACTTCCACTTCTCCCAAAGGCTCCAGGTACCCATATAGTAGGTACTAGGCCTTAAAGTACCCTTTTTAGGGGCCCTTTAAGGCCTTTATAAAGGCCCAAGTACCCACCATCTGGGTACATGGAACCCTAAACCCTCCCTAAACCCTAAACCCTAAACCGGGAAGCCTTGGGTCTCTGGCAAGTCCACCTGGTGAGTCACGCGAAGTTGCCGCTCAGCTCTCTCGCCCCGGGCGCGGTTCGGGGTTTAGGGTTTAGGGTTCTAGGGCTTATGTTCTAAGGTTTATGGTCTAGGGTTTAAGGTCTAGGGTTTAATTAGGGTTCTAGGGTTTAGGGTCTAGGGTTTAGGGTCTACCTTAACCCTGAATAACCTACCTTTTTAAGGTTCCTTATTATGATTTCCATAAAAAGGCCCTAGAAAGTTAGGTCCTTCAGGGTTAAGGTAGGGTTTAGGGTTTAGTAGTGCTCGAAGTCCTCCGGCAACTCGGTCGAGGCATCGAACTTGAAGCCTCGGTCGGGTCTCTCAGAGACTCGGGTGCCCAGACCTTCCAAAATGCCTTTCATTAAGGAATACCTGGACGCTAAGGAACCTACCTTTTCAGGGTTCCCTAATATGATCTCTCTTTATATATATATATATATATATATCCTTAAAAAGGTAGGTTACTTGGGGTTAAGGTATACCTTAAATCATATCAAGGGTCCTACTATAGTTTATAAGGGATATTCCTCAATTAAGGGATTTTGGAAGGTCTGGGTGTAGCCACTCAGCGCGCGGCCAACCGTCGCATCCACGTGGGACTTCCTCCCTCAGCATGCCTTCAGGACCACACGATGTTTGGCATTTCTCTTATAATGTTCAACAACCTCTATATGTGATAGCAGCCACTTCCTAGAAGCACCACATATACTACCATTATATGGATTTAGGCCCCCAAGAGACCACTCATATTGACCAATATAGGGGTCTTAAAGATTAGAGGAGAATCGGGTTTTGTGGTATACAATAGTATAATTACAAGAAGGAGCTCCCAACCTAGTCTAGATAATTATCAAGGCCTCGAAAGTATTTGGGAACCCTAAACCCTAAACCCTAAACCCTAAACCCTAAACCCTAAACCCTAAACCCTAAACCCAACTAGGAGGCACATCAACCCCTAAGTCCACACTCCATACAGTTTAGACCTTGTAAAGCCCTTTGAGAGCCCATTTCTCAAACAGGCTCTGATTCTTGCTGTACATGAACGTCGTAGGGACACGCCTAAATGGGAGTTTCCGAACACAGGGGACCCTAATATAGCACCCTAAACAGTATAGGATCCTTATCATAAGGACCCCAAAATAAGGTGCCCCTAATTTTCGGAATCTGTAAACCTTTTATAGAACCCTTTTAGTACCCTTATAGTAACACTTTATTTCAGGAACCCTAAGGTACCCCTAAATTTTCAAAAACTCCCAAACCCCTAAATCCCATAACTCTATAGATCCCTTATAGGAACCCTTCAGGGAACCTTTAAAGGATCCCTTTTAAGGGAACCCCTAAGGTACCCCTAAATTTTCGGAAACTCAAAAAGCCGAAGTTCGAGATCCTGTTTCGACCCCAGAGGCTGAAACCAGTGTGAGTTTCCGAAAATTAGGGTTACCTTTAAAGGGATCTATAAGGGCTCCTTTAAGGGATCTATAAGGGTTCTATAAAGGGTTTAGGGTTTAGAGTTTCCGAAAATTAGGGGTACTTAGAAACCCTTTAAGGGGATCCTTTAAGGGTCTGTTTCAGGGTTCCTTTAAGGGGATCCTTTCAGGGTTTCTTTAGGGGTTTACTTAGGGGTACTTAGAAAACTTTTTTAATTTTTGGTTATTATAATCAGGGTTTGGGGGTTTAGGGTTTAATTGGGTCTTTAGGGTTTAGGGTGTAGGCTTAGGGTTTAGGGGTACTTAGAAAACTTTTTTAATTTTTGGTTATTGGGGGATCCGTAAGGGGTTCCTTTAAAGGGATCTATAATTTGGGGTTCCTTTCTTCAGAATAGGGCTTAGGGGTACTTAGAAATATTTTTGAATTTTTGGCTAATATAGTCTCTAAGAAACAGCTAAAATTATAATTGTTGCAAGGGTTCTAAGTTCAGTAGATTCTGGGTTTGAGGTCAGCGGTTTGGGGTACAGGGTTTAGGGTGTAGGTTTGAGGGTTTAGGGGTTCAGGGTTTAGGGGTCTAGGGCTTTAGGCTTTAGGGTGTAGGCTTAAGGGTTTAGGGGTTGAGGGTTTAGGTCAGGGTTTAGGTGTTCGGACCTTCTTCTGAGGTGGCAACAGGTAGACGCGGCGTGGGTGGCGATGCGCGAGGAAGCCAGAACTGTGAACACCGAGGCCTCGGTAAAGGTTGTGGGTCCCATGGGGGTTTCTTCTAAGGGTTCTCGCAGCGCTGTAGATCTCTGCAGGCTTAAGGGGGTTTGGCATTTCCGGTTGACAGAGGGGGCCCACTCGTACGCGAGAACGAGCCCGAACTCAGTTTCCCAGCAGGCGCCCCAAAACGCACCCTCAAGGACTTGTGTCCAAACATCTGCCCAGACTCAGAACTAAAGCCTTAAACCCGAACTTGAGACCCACCCCTGAAGCGTACACTCTAGACCATACCACCCCTTACAATAATACACCACCCTGACCCTGAACTGCCATGCGCCGGGCATATATCCTGAAGCCAGAGGGCTGGTAGTGGTGTACCATGGCGTATCTATTTTACCGATGGTTTGGAGTAGGCTTAGGGTTTCGGGCTTGGGGTTTGGTTTTGAGTAGGCGTTGGGGTGTTTGTGGTGTTGTAAGACTGTAGAGGGTTTAGGGTTTGGTACTGTTTTGGAGGTTCCTTATTATAAAACCTCTATTCTACAAAGACTCTATTCAACTTATTAAGGCCCCTATGTCCCTAAGGCTCCATGTACCCATATAGTATATACTTAGGCCTTAAAGTACCTATATACTTGGAGGGTCAGGAGACTTAGTAAGTACGTAGTAAGTAATTAGACTTATAAGTACCCGAAAAGGGACCCTAATTGGGGTTATGGTACTTATAAGTCCCTAAAATAACCAGTTACTAAGTCCCCCGACCCTCCAAGTAGGGACTCTTTTGAGGGCCTAAGTACCTACTACATGGGTACATGGAGCCTTTGGGTGTTAGGGTTGGTTTTTGTCCCTAAACCCTAAACCCTTAAGCCCTAAACCCCTAAACCCTAAACCCCTGAGCCCTAAAGGGTTGATTATTCCAGGAGGTTTCGAACCTGGCAGCTGCTGTGGGCTCCCTCAGCGCCGAGCTTTTGGCTGCCGCTGAGACCAGCTTTCAGGATTTAGGGATTAGAGTTCAGGGTTTAGGGATTAGGGTTTAGGGATATGGGTTATGGGTTTAGGCTTTAGGGTGTAGTGTTCAGGGTTTGGGGTTCAGGGATTAGGGTTTGGAAGTTTGGGGAACTTTAGGGCTTTCTGAGGTTCCTAGAAGCAATCGATAGCTTTTGTTTCTTATTATGGGGTTTCTATAAGGGATCTAAGGGGTTTGGGGGGTTTAGTGTTGCAGGTTTAGGGTTTAAGTTCAGGGTTTAGGGCTTTAGGGTTTAGGGGTTCAGGATTCCTTCCCTTTGAGGGTTTAGGGCTTAGGGCCTGGAAGCATGCGTAAGTAGAATAGGTTAGAAGGGGCCCCCACCCTGTAATAGTGACTATAAGGATTACATTAGGGCCCTATTATATTCCTATGATACCACTATTACAGGGTGGTGGCACCTTCTAGAGAATAGGGCTTCTGTGTGGGTTTAGGCTTTGGGTTTGGGTCGTCGCCGAGGGTTCCTTGAAAGAGATCAGTACAGTATCGCTCTAAGGGTTCTATGAGGGTTTTGGCCAGTAGGGCTTTAGGGGGTTTAGGGCTTAGGGCTTTAGGGTTCGAGGTTGCAGGTTTGGCGTCTAGGGCCCTCTTGGGATGCTATTCAAAGACTTATCAGTAGAGTAGGTAACCCTAAACCTTAAACCCCTAAACCCTAAACCCCTAAACCCCTAAACCCTAAACCCCTAAACCCTAAACCCTAAACCCCTAAACCCTCAAACCCCGAAACCCTAAACCCCTAAACCCTAAGATGCCCCAGCTGTCGCCAGGCTCCGGCTTGGGTTCAGACCAACTTCCTGCCCCCGGAAAGGAGTTGCAAGGTGATTCAAGGATAGACCCGCGGGAGGATCTAGAAAGTGGATCCCTTAAGGGGGTTTCCTATTAAAGGGTTTAGGGGTTTAGGGTTTAAGGGTTTAGGGTTTAGGGTTATTAAGGTAGATCCCCTAATTTGGGGACCCTATACTATTAAGGGTACTTTATAGGAACCTCCATTAAGGGATCTACTTTTTGGATCCGCCCATAATTCGGGGAGCAGAAGCCCCAACCTGAATCCCACGCCCCAGCAGCGCGATCATTCCCCAGGGTAGTGTTTTGGGGTTTGGGCTCAGAGTAGCCGAAAATTTGCTAAAGTCACAAAATTAAGGCCTTCACTTCCTGAGTGTGCTTCTGCAGGGCCCTGTGCCTGAATCCCAAATCACAGAACCCATGATCCTTTTAGTACGCAGCTCTCCGTCCCTGAATCCGTAAGCAAGCCCTACTTAGAGGATCATGGGACTTTGTAAGGTACCTTAAGTGGGGTGTCATAACTAGTCGCAAGTATAGTTGCCACAACAATAACCCTGGGTACTAAGCCCCACGATCTTCTAAGGCCTTTGAAGAGTTTCTGAGTGTCCCAAACCTGGCGTCCCAGACCCTCAGGCCCTCGAGACCTACAGTTGGGAGACCCCACAGCCTAAGCCCCTCGCGACGAGGCAGTGCCACTCTATAGCATTGAGGATGCCACTTGGCTGTTGTTGGACATGTTCGAACGTTTCTGGACGCCTGAACGCAGCATATGCAACACAAGCTGTAATGCGAGTGATTAAGGAATAGACCTTAGACCACAACAAGAATCATTATTCCAGTCGAAGACTGTTTGTTACTGTGGCCTTAGAGTCACCTCAAAAAGAATCCTTATCCAGTCGAAGAATGTTTCTTATGACGTGGCCTTGGAGTCTCTAGTTACTGCAGGTCACATGCTGTTATCAAACCCTGCATACCGTCGCAACAGACAGGATGGAACCTGACTTGCCCTGTTGACCTAAACCTTCAGTCTGAACCCTAAACCCTAAACCCTAAACCCTAAACCCTAAACCCTAAACCTTCAGTCTTCATCTTCAGTCTCAAAGCCCCACAAGCCTCGGCCGGCATGTTGAATTTGCATTGGGTACTGCCCCCACTCAGTAACAGTTGGATAAGATTCATAATCTCGATCTATTAAATCACAATAGCCCTATTATAGACTGTTACTGCATGCGGGGGCAGTACCCAAAATCTGCATGCTTTGCCGAGAAGCTCGGAGGTTCGTGAGATGGCATGATGTCAGGTTGTGAGCTATGAGCACCGTGCTTGGAGGATCATGGGATTTAGTAAGTATGGTTATAGGTGCCCTTGGTGGGGATTTAAGTATCTATAAGTATAGTTACCTTAATTAGGACCCTAGTTACTAAGTCCCATGGTCCTTTAAGTAATCGAGGCGGCTAAGCAATTGCTACTGGTACTTTCGTTGCTAATGCCAAGTCTCCTGACCTTGCCACCAAAGCTTTATCAAGCTTAGACCCATCATTCTAGAAGGCAAAGTTTCAGCACGTGTATCATGTATCATTTGCACCAGTACCTGAACCTAAGCCTTATCCCTCCGCAGTACCTGTCCGCTCACAAAGCAAACTTCGAACCGAGCCGTTTTTGGAACTGTACGTGCACTTTAAACCCACCCAAAAATGTCGAAAAAAACATGTCCATCGCTATATAGTCGCTCAACCCAGAGCAAACTCCGAAGACTTTAAATTCTACTGCTTAATTCCTAGGTCTTAAGCCCTTCTGAGCCCATATCCTCAGCCCCGAAACCCAAACCCCAAGCCCCGCAACCTAAATCTCAAAGTCAACACCCTACACCTGGTATGATTGGTATTGTAACTGCTATGAAAAATTGTCATGAATTCTCGTGATTATTGTTATTGATAGTATTGTTAGTAGTGGTGGTAGTAGTAGTAGTCGTAAATCCTAAAACCCCTGGTAGTTTCATGACATGATAGCTCTATGATTTGAGAGACTCCGTTTGAGTTCGAGAAGCCCAGGTCAGAGATCCGGCGGCGTTCCCGTGGCCGACAGCGATCTACAGCGGTTCCTTGTTTTTTTGGTTAGGTACGGTTGTTCACATGTCGTTTCAGGTCTAGGGTTCAGGGTTTTGCTGTCACAATGTCAGGTCATGTGATTCACTGCTTTTGTTTGGTAGAAGGTTTTATGTATCTTGTTTCCTGGGCTTGATTTGTTTACACCAGGCTTGGCACGTTCTGTGAGGGTGGATTCTGCAGGGCTGTAAGGTCTTGTGATGCGGTGTTGTAGGTTGGATTGTGTGGTGTTTAGGGTACCAGGTCCACACACCGCTTTAGGTGACTCATCAAGTCGGCCTAAATCTAAAGCTGGAAACACGACGCCCCCAGCCCAAAGCCACGAAATCCCCAACTCTCGGCCTCCTAAACTCTAAACCCTAACCCTAAGGGTCCGAGTAACTCCAAGTGCCTAATAATCATTTACTCTCCTACATGTTAAGCTGCATAACTGCTATCCTAAGCCTGAGTCCCTAATTATTGGGTCCTTTGGACCCTTGGGGTAAGCCCTAAACCCTAAGCCCTAAACCCTCAACCATAGAAGCCCTAAGCCCCAAAAGCCCTATTAGCCCTAAACCCTAGAAGCCTTAAACCCCAAAAACCCCAAAAGCCCTAAACCCCAAAAAACCCTATAAGCCCTAAACCCTAAGGCCTAAACCCTAAGCTCGAACCTTCATACCCAAAACCAACCCCCCCCAGCTCCACTTGAAGGGGCCCGCAGAGTCTTCAGCAATCTAATCCTCGGGGTAGGGGTTACTATAGGGCCTTCATAATCACCTATACTATTCCTTCGGGTTCCTTTAAAGGGGTCTATAAGGAATACTATAAGGGTTACTATAAGGGATTACTATGGGGGCCTTCGTCATTGCCTATGCTACTTTGGGGGTTCATCATAGCATAATACGCCCTACCTCCAGTATCCTAAGGTCCTGGGCGATGGGAATTGTGTGCAAGCACGCATTAGGGGCAATACAGTGTGATCCCGGTTTAGCATGTGATACGCATGCTCTGACTATCCTTGACTCTTGGCATGGAGTTCCTTCTAGTTTCATATTGTAATTACAGTGTAATTCGTATAATCACCTCGACAGCCCTAGTCTACTTCTTAACACCCCAGGGAAAGTGCAGGCCTTTGCGCATTGTTGGTTCTGAGCTTCCCTAAACCCTAAATCCATAACCATATAAGGCTCCATGTACCCCTATAGTATATACTTAAAGCCTTAAAGTACCAAAACAGGGACCCCTTTAAAGCTTAAGTAATCTACGATTAAAGGCACATGGAGCCTGTAGGATCCACAACTTGGAGGATCATGGGACTTAGTAAGTATGGTTATAAGTACCTTAAGTGGGGGTATAAGTGAGTATAAATATCTAGCCACCTCAATTATAACCCTAGTTACTAAGTCCCACGATCCTCCCTAAACCCTAAACCCTATAGATCCCATAACAAGGTACCCTATAGATCCCTTTAAGGAACCCTATAGATCGCTTTAAGGAACCCTCTAGATCCCTTTTGAGGAGCCCTATAGATCGCTTTAAGGAGCCCTATAGATCCCTTTTGAGGCCTGGGCGCCTCACTGGTTCTGAGCTTCTGCATCATCGTGTACTGCCAGTGGGTGCGCGAGCGCCAAGTGAAAGACAAGGCCATATGTCTCATAGCTCTACTTAGAGGATCATGGGACTTAGTAAGTAGGGCTCTTTAAAGGGATCTAGAGGGTTCCTTAAAGGGATCTCTAGGGTTTAGGGTTTAGGGTCTACTTAGAGGCTCTACCTGGACCCTAAGGAACCTACATTTTTAGGGTTCCCTAATATGATTTCTTTAGAAAAGTCCTTAAAAAGGTAGGTTACTGGGGGTTAAGGTGGGGTTTACGAACCCATAAGGTTTTACAGGGATCCTTTCAAGGGATCCAGAGGGTTTTTTTTATATGGAGTTTCGATCTGGGGTCTGTAGGGTTTGGGAACTGATGTTTTTGGGTTTAGAGTTGAGGGTTTAGGGCTTGGGATTTAGTGTTTGGGGTCGGGCTTGCAGGTTTTAGGGTGCAGGGTTTCGGGGTTTGGGGCTTCGAAAGGTTTGGGATGCGGCTGGTAGGTAATGAATTCTGGAGCATTGCCCTTGAAAGTAACTGCGTCCAAACACTAGGACCCAGAGTAGGCCCTTATTCCCTTTTTTAGGGTTTAGGTTCCCTTATAAGCCCCCTTTCACCCAAAAAGGGCACCCTTTTTATTCCTAGGCTACTCTTAGGTCTAGAACACTAAACCTCCAAACCCCCGAGCCCCGACCCCCAATCCAAGGCAAGGCTTGTTGTTGGTAACGTCTTTCCCTAAACCCCTAAGCCCTAAACGCCAAATCCCAATAAACACTGCACTCTAAGCCCTAAACCCGAATCGAAGGCATGAGGGCTGAGGAGAACGCCATTTCCCCAAACCCTCCTGAACCCTCAGCCGGATTCCTAATTGTAATGTAGGAGCGGTTTACGGGTTCTGGGGTAGGGTTCGATAAGGGTTCCTTTACAGGGTACTATAAGGGTATTATGAGGGTTTTAGGCGCCTGACTGAAGAGCCTTGGGCCTTGATTAGAGTTCCTCATATGAATCCTGCTATTTGAGGGTTATAGACCCAGGGTTTATTAATCAGGTTCCTACATTATGCACCCGACAGACACTACTCGGCCTAACATCCCACAGACGAAGGAACATCCGTTTCACCAGCCGCACATAAACCCTAAAGAAACAAACCCTTCAACCTCTAAAGCATCCCCCCCCACCCCCCTGAGGACAAGACCGGAGCAGGCTATCCTGCAGGAGCAAGGCACGACATTGTCGAGGAGGTGGGTTTGGATCAAGGGCTTCGCTCTGTCTATTGGCTTGATATCGGCTCTACACTGTTACACGGGTTCTACAAAGCTTCTGAAGTGTTCAGGAGTTTAGCTTAGAAGCTGCCCCCACCCTGTAATAGTGACTATAAGGATTTATGAGGGCCCAATTATATTCCTATTATACCACTATTACAGGGTGGGGGCCCATTCTAAAGTTTAGCATACTAAGGTCGAAAGGGAGGGGTCGTTGGCTCGGGGTTCTTTGGATTGAAGCCCAAGGGGTCCTGTGCGCCGGTATAGTAGAATCTAAAATTTAGGGTTCAGGGCTTAGGGTTTAGGGTTTCCATACTAGTTCCATACTAGGTATTACTATTATGACTTAGGGAAGTATCCCCCATAACAGTACATAGGACCCTTTGGGAAGTTGTAGTTGTTTGACTTATCGATGGCATCCGCTTGGTGAATACTTAATGGGGGGGGCCTACCAGCAAGGAGCCTTGCTTCTGTAGTTACACATATCACATACCAGAACCCTAAACCTTATGGCGCATGTTACAATGTTGACGGTGGCGGGATATCCTCCAGGACGTATCTGGGTTCCCTGCCTCCAGCTACCCAACAATCACATGTTCCCCTTAATCCTCACCAGCGATTAGTTCCATCCACTACTGATTCCTAACCCTAAACCCTAAACCCTAAACCCTATTGGATCCTTCAACCCTGAAGCCGAGATCGAACTTCCTAAGCCGCCTAGGCCCGTAAACATTTGCCTGAACAGAGGACGCCCAAGCCCTGCGAGGTTTTGCAAGCGTTCTGTGCCTCAGGGCTTAATCTAGGGGGCCTTAGTAATTAGAGTAAGGTTTTGAGAGGTACAACCTACTATAACTCTAGTAATTAAGGAACCCCTTCCCGAAACAGTATTGGTAATTCTTTAAGTTCATACATTATGTTATACAAGAACCAAGAACTTTAATAAGTACGACAGCCAGGACTTCATTTGCAACTTGCTGCCCCGCAAACGGACTTGTAACTTACAAACCTGCATGCGTTTTCCTTTAGCCCCTGTAGAACGCGGTTACTGTCCCATCATCCCTTCTCCGCATACGCAATCTGTAATCCAAGAATGACTACCCGATGTTGCTCAGAGGTCTGACACCATGGCGGAGATGAACTGAGGCAGACACGCTTCGAGTCCGCCGCCGCCAGCGTTCCAGAAATGTATGTTTTAAAGATTCGCTTTTGGGGATAGAGGTCTTGCCCCCTTATCGCCCAAACCCCATAATCTAGGATGCCCAGTAGTACCCTTATTCCCTTTTTGTAGTCCTAGGTTCCTTATAAAGTTACCCAATACCAAAAAGAGAGGCCTTTTTATTCTTAGGTTACTGGGTATCCTAGTAATGGGGCTTCCGTTTCGTCCTGGCTTGGCCCTACACCGCCCTCCACGTTCCGCATGACCTGCACGGATGCCAGTTCCGATCCGTCAGCTCTGTGGCGTTGGAGGTGCTTTGCCCGGCTTCAGCAGACCCGACAGTAGTTCTAGGGTTTCCGGTACATGGTCATGGGAAACTGGATCTCGAGTGATATTTCGGAGTCTTGGGCATCCGCATGTAGGGTTATCCGGCTTTACAGCTTGCGGCTTCTGTGTGCTGGGTAGTATTATTGGGGGACCCCTAAAAGGGTACCCATTCTGAACCTTACTTCTGGCTCTCTTAAAAGGGGCCTTATTGAGAGGGTCTATATCCCCAAGCGTCCCCCTAATCCTAACTCCCATGTGCAAGATTGCAGGGGTGTCGCCGGGGGTTTAGGGTTTAGGGTTGGTCTAGAAGTTCTGGGTTTGAGAGTTTGAGGGTTTAGGGTTTAGGGTTTAGGGTTTGGGGTTTAGGGTTTAGGGTTTGCAGGCAGACTAGAGACAGCGAGCCGATTCCGGGCTTATCCAGGACCTTCTTGCAAAGGGAGGGCCTAAATACATTCAGGTCCTCCCTGGGAGTTGTCACGAGAAGAATGCCGATGCGAGATCCTGATTTCTATACGACTCAGGGGCTAGGTTTGCAAGAAGATTTTGGGCTCTACTCTGAACCCTTATCCCTAAAACCTAATCTAAAATCGCCGATATCAGATTTCCTGTACGAAATGTGGCTGCTTCGGGTCGGGTTTAGCGTATAGGGTTTAGGGTTTTTTACACAAGCCGTAAGCTGCAATGTATGCGAGACCCTATCGCAACACTCAGCGCTCTTAGATTGTGGCAGGGTTCTTGACAACCACCCAACGAATGCATGTGTTCAAAGGAAGGCATTTTTTGCCTTACCCATGCTGATCTCGAAGTCCGAAACCCTCTGTAGACATACAGTTGACGGTTTCGGGGTTGGGGTTCAGGGATTGTACTTAGGGTTTAGGGTTCAGCGTTTAGGGACTAAGGTTCATTTATTCAGTCTGCTAGGGAAACACTTCTTGAAAACCCCATATCATATACCCAGAGTCCAGAGTTCTGCAGACCGGGTTGCGAAGGAGCAGGGAATTAAGAGTTTAGGGTTTACGCCACCTGGGGGTTTTGGAACTTCTGAATTTCTACGAGACCGGCCGGTTCAGACCCGACAAGGATATGCTTGCCGCAGAAGCGGAGGGTGAACTCGGCTGGAGCAAAGCAAGAGCTGCTCTTGAACAAGACCCCGAGCTCCTGAAGGGTCCGAAATACCCAACAATAAAGTACATGGGTTTAGGACAGGAATAGTGTACTCATGTAGGTTAAGTACTGTAGTCTTTGGGAGAGTTTGTGATTGATAAGTATTTTGACCCTGAGGGAGAATCTCAGACTCCAGAATATTTTGGAGTCTCCGAGAACAAGTCTTGCAACGCGCAGCTGCGCAAGTTGGGGTCCCAATCACGCCTACCCTAAAGCCTACAAAAAACCCTAAACCTTAAATTTCCCGTAATAACAGAGCCGACACACCAAGCGAGGATGGCGACCCCGACGTTGCAGCGCGATTATTCCTGCGTCTTGTGGCCCTACCTCCCAATGACTGCAAACCCCGTGCCTTTCAGTTTGCACGTGAATGGTTTGCCGCGCACAACATTTAAAACTGTAAGGGTCATACAGCGTCCTAAATAATCACCCTTAACCGTCCGGTAGCCCTTTTACAATCCTTAAATCCCAGAGCTCTGAGTCCTTACCCCCGTAGACTCAGTAGAGAGAAAGAAGAATGTTCCTTTTTAAATTTAGAGGATATCCTCTAAATTTCCTATTAACATATAAAGAAATCCTCGGTCCCACCATTCACCATGTACCTCGACATGGTGTCTAGGTGAGAATGCGCTCGCAGCCCGCGAAAGAATAACGATCTTGCCGATAAAGTCTTCACCAAGTTGAGTGCTTCGGTTGATGATATAAATCCTGCATTACCCATATCAAGGAATATACCATTATTCCCATAGTTTAGGGTCCTTAAGGTAATGCAGGATGTATCTCATCAACCGTTTCAGTTCAGCCAACAAGTAGGTCTGTCTTCGTTGGCACGCGCAGGCCTGGACTAAAGAATCGACCATATGCACGAAAGCGTGCAGTTGGGGTGGGGTTTGGGGTTTAGGATTTAGGGTTTAGGGTTTAGGATTTAGGGTTTAGGGTTTAGGGTGTCATCTTCAATCTCATCTTGTCACGATTGTAAGCAAGTTGTGCAGCTTCGGAGTAACTTGTCATGAAGTCGATCCCTGCCTGAGCCACCTTTCGGCAGGTAGCCAAATCCAAGAAAAGACCGCGCGAATACAAAGTTGACAAGAAGACGCTTGCATTGCGGCACGCGGTGTAGATGAAATCAACAGAATCATCAGTTCACCGGACTGGTAGTCACCCCAGAAATCTTCGAGTACTTCTTCCGTTGCCACCCATAATTTAATATGTTTGTTCTATGAAGAGGTGGCCACTGATATGTCTCAGGTTCAGGAACAGCTTACGGACAGACTCCAGTCGCCGCCTGCATCATACTTGTGACTAGGGACAGTCTTACAAAGGTTGGGTCGTTGGACCACAGTGCCAAGTGGACTCTACACCCGCCAATGGCGGAAAGGCCTCTTGCATGATCGGGTGGTACGCCTTGCTTCAGGGAAAGCCCCAAAAGCCCTAAACCCCAAAGGCTTAACTCCTAACAAACCTCCGCACCAGCTTTTTGTCGAGTGCTGTACAAAGGCCTGCTGAGAACAGCTGTGCGGCAGAAGGTGCTTGCCCAGAGGGGTCCAAGGTAAGACATCGGTGATCTAGGTTTGGGTTTGGAGCGTTGGAGCGTCAACCCAATCCCTAAACCCTAAACCCTAAACCCTAAATCCTAAACCCTAAACCCTAAACCCTAAACCCAATCCCTAAACCAGAAACCTCAACCCCGGAGTGCCGCATAAGGCACACTTGTTAGAATATTTGGAAACCTCGTAGTAGAGTAGGCAGGTAACCTTTAACTTTCTTGGGTTATTATGATGCCCATATTCCCTAAACCCTGAACCTTAATATAGTTCCTATATCCTGCACAAGGTTGACCTTTAAACCCTAAACCCTGAACCCCAGGGGTACTGGACAAGTAGCGGAAGATTTGGACCTGCAGACTGTCGTTTGAAGAGGGAAGCCAGACTCCTCCGCAGAGGAGTGCGGTGATCCTTAATTGAATCGTGGGGTCGCCAGTGCATCAACCGATCCGATTTGGGCTACTTAATGAAGTACCTAGGGTTCCTTTAAGGGATCTATAGGCTTAGGGTTTAGGGGATTCTAATACCCCTTAATTGAGGGATACGACTCACTGTCACTCTGATGTGTTTTCGTCGATGAAAGCCTCATCCTAGAAAGCCTAAACCCTAACCCGGAATAACCTACCTTTTTAAGGACGTATATAAGGAAATCATAATAAGGGTCCCTAAAAAGGTAGGTTATTCAGGCTTAAGGTAAACCCTAAATCCTCCTAGAAGTGAAGTAATTGGGGGAACCTTTAGGCTTTTTGGGGTACTATGGATCTGGGTTTAGGGTTTAGGGTTTAGGGTTTAGGGTTTAGGGTTTAGGGTTTAGGGTCCCTGTGTAATCCCGATAAACTCCCACATGTTAAGCTCTAGATCCGCAGGGGGGCCGGACAAGTAGATCAATGACAACCGAAGGACAGTGTTTTCGAAAGTTCTCCGACTTTCCAAGAAGGGCGTTAGCATCAACTTTCGATTTCGGGTTTTCAACAACACAGTACACCTCAAGCCTTAATTGAGTCGGTTTGGGCCACGAGGGGATCCCACGACCTTTCATGCCGTCTTCGGTACATGATGATGGCCCACATCCCAGAAGGCCGACCACAAGAGCGCATGGACGTTCAGGCCGGTTCAGATTCTGCTAAAGACTGTCTGCTGGCATGAAGCCGCTTCCTGCTTGCCAATGGCAAAATCCACTGCCTGCCTCATTGTTTCTTGATCTGTGGTGGCTATTGAGGTATGCTCCCTTGATCGAACCCAAGATGGAAATCGTTATCATTGCCGGGCCTTTAGTGTTGAACTAGCGAGATTCTGCATTCTGCATCGTCGCACTTTTGCAAGGTTCGCAGTAGTACTCTTTCGACCTGCCTTTTGGGTTCCCTTATCAAAACGAGATAGTAGGATAAAGGGTGCCGTCATTGCTGAAGGGCTAGTCGGGAACCTAGATTGGCAGGAACCTAGACTGGGTCCCCGAAGCACCTCCACGCCAAGGAGCAGCCTAAACCCTGACGACCGAACTTCCGAAACCCCCCTTTTTAAAGTGCAGTGAGAAAAAAAAAAGAACTTCCGAAACCTACCCCTGAACGGTTAAGCCCTGAAAGACTCAAGCAGAACCCTGACAACCACTTGTTTTGAACCCGCACATATAGAATCAGTCCTTTGTCGAACCCATATAGAACTTCATTATTGTTTTCCGTAAGCTAAAACAGGGAACCCACATAGAGCTTTTCGCTCTAATCCGTAAATCTTAAGCCCTACACCCAAAACACTACATCCCAAACCCTTTATAGAACCGTTTTGCCATATTCCTCCAAGTTGGCACCAGGATCCGGTTCAATGTGTGGCGACCACCAGCGACGGTCGCGCCGTCTCCTGCAGCGAGGGCCCTACCAGGGTACTTGAAGGAGTTCTTTTTCGGGTTTGGGGTTAAAAACGGTTGTAAGAGGG